CCTGCCAGTATAGTTCAGTTTTCAGCGATGCCTTGCAGTTATTAGTCAGCTCACCCTCCAGCTGCAGAAGAGGTGGGTAGGCTCTGCGAGGGAAAAAGGATTGGGCCCTCGCCACTTCTACCTTCAGCAGCCACCTACTGAAGGCAGAAGTGGCAAGGGGCCTGATCCTTTTCTTTTTCTGGTGTACCCTGCCTGCCTCCTGCAGCTAGGAGGGTGAGCTGCCAGCGAGCTGAACAGCCCTTAAGCTGTGGAGGGGCCTTCGTTCTTTCCCTCCACTGTGGCGGTGCCCGCCTGGGGCCTCCTGGGCAGACTGTTAGCGGGCCAGGTGCTGCCCCAGCTTGGGGTCAGGGAAGAGTTCGAGCAGGCTGGGGGGGCACATCACTGCAGAGGGGAGGACTGGGGGCCCCCATAGCTCAGGGGCCGCTCAGCCTACTGGCAGCTCACCCTCTGGACATGGGCATTCTCTGCCGGAAAAAAAAATGATTGGGCCCCTTCGCAGTAACAGTGACAGAAAAATAAAACCCCACTGTGTCAATTTAAAAAACTCAACGTTTCAATTTAGGGTGGCATAGAATGAAACCCTAAGGGCTAAACCCCTGTTATGTGCCTATGTGCCTATTTTCTAAGTCCTATGTAGTGGGCTTATGTGGCATCCAGTCAATTGTCAGAGATGCAGTTAGTGGTTGGTCAGTCCTTCAAGTTGTGAGGCTGAGTGCTTATCTGTTTCAGGGCTATGCCTGCTTCTGCAGGCTTTACATGGACTCCTCTGCACAGCACTCAGGGCAAGTGACTTGACTGATTAATTGCATCTTCCTGCTATAAATAGCAATGTAATAAGTCTGAATGAGGTGCAAACAATTGAACCAAGCTGTTCTAGCATAAAGTAACCACGTAATTTGATTTAAACTATGCCTTTAAGATAGTACAGTCGGAGTATTGTAGCCATGATAGTCCAGGAAATGTTGGAGAGCCTAGGATGTTTTGTGATATCTTTTACTGGACAAACTGGGTAGGAGAACTGGACAAGATTTCAGCGATCAAATGCCCCGTTATTTATTTATTTGTCACCTTTTTCACTGCATCAATTATGTTTTGCTGTCTGCATGTGTTTGTACATTTTTGGGACATAGTTTAGGTAAAGGTTAGTTTAGGTAAAGGTTATGTCCAGATCTCTGATTAAGAGCTGTTATATCAAAGGAACTGAGGAATGTCTGTCTAAGGAAAAGAGAGACGGTGAAGCTTTCAAGCATCTCTTGCTTATTTTGTTACTAGAGCAAGAAAAATTGCCACTCCCAAACACAGGCAGAAAAGGCTATTATTGGAATCACATCCAAGATGCTGTCTGCCTGTGATGGTAAAAATCAGCCCATAGCAAAGGCATCTCAAGGAAATGGGCCATTAGGTAGGAGAGTTCCAGGTGCCCTGGGAGGGAAGAATTTTCTGCAGAATGCTGCAACTTTTGAACAAAGTGAAAAAAGCTGGTTGGGGGGTGCTGCCTTGGAGGTATTTATGATCTATCTGTGAGGTAGTGGTGGTCTTTAGATTATCCCAAGGCTTGGGATCAGAGTCCCTGACTCCAGTGGTCAGGACTTGGCAGGGTTAGCAGGAAAGCTAATCTCTGGAAAGACTGATAGGATTTTCTGATAGGTTGTAGCAGATGAGAGGACAAGAAACATCATTTTGTTCTGTCTTTTGGTTTTTCCTGTATGATTCTTGTCTTCTGTGTAATAAATCCTTTTGTTGTTTGGTTGCCTGTGGTAAAGTGTGATCTCAGGGCAGGTGGTACTCTGCAGAGAGGGGGACTGGGGGCTCTGTCATGACCCAAGCAGGAAACACCTGAAGTTGGCAAAGATTCCCCTTATTGCATCTGTGGGGTCCAGTACAGGGCAGCAGAGCAGAGGCTTACACAGGGATAAGGCGTTATCCGAGGGAAAACCTTGGTCTTTTCCTTTAGACAAGCACTGGAATAGTAAGGAGAAGCTTGGGGCTCCACAGGGTATTGGATGAGTCTGTGACAGTGTTATGTCAGCTATCTTCTAATGTAAATTAAAACAAAAAGAAGACTACATGTGACAAGTCAGTTTTCCTTGGATGCCAACAAGAGTTTTGGTACAGCATATTAAATCCTTTCTTAGGAAGTCTTCAACAAGTAAGCAATGAGCCATGAATATAGTGGGATATTTCTGTACTTGTATTTAGGAAAGATGCCTGAAACTGAAACCCTAATGGTATAAGAAAAGGTCCACTGAAAACGGTGGGAGACTGGTAGTAATGCTGTTAGTTGCTGTATATTTGTTGGTACCCAGGCATTGTTCTAATTGAGTTTTCAATTCATCTAGTTTGAGAGTTTGTCAAATGTTATCAGAGGTTAGGACAGGCAGTTACTGATAAAATGGGTAGAGATTTGAATTTTAAATGGACACAATTCTTAACCCACACAGTTATCTTCACAAGTCCAGTGGCAGGTAATGAGGCAGTCCTGCAACAGTTCTTCAGACTGTACTTTTCCTATGGCTTTATTGTACCTTACCTGACAGTTCCCAAATGCAAGTTTGCAAATACCTTCATTTAAAGTCCTTAAAAAACATCCATAGTAGAGAAATATAGCAATCCTCAGTTTCTGCTATTTCCTAATATTGGCAGTCTGTTAAACCAATGCAGGCATAATGAGAACTATTTGAATCTTATTGCTGCATTTAATGGCTCCAGTCATATTTTTGAGCATTGGTGTGTGACACAACATGCTGTTCACTAGGAGAGCTGATCTGAGAGCTCCAGGATTCCTTGTCTGGGAGACAGATACACCAGAAACCATAAGCAGCTGGAGCCCACTTATTTTCCAGAACAAGTATGGTACAAAAGAAGCTAAAGACTTGAACTGAATATTTTTATCTCAGACAGGGTTTGGCAACCTGGGGCCCATGGGCTGGATCCAGCCTGGAGAGCTGTAGCGTTCGGTAGTGAGGGGCTTTTTGATACACAGCACTGCAGCTGGGTACTGAGGGCTTCAGTAGAGGGTAGCTCTGCCTGCACCATCTCACTTCAGTCTGGTGGCTGGGTCTTAATGCTGGCCTACTTCATACCTAAACTGGGTGATTCCTGTCTACTGCCAAAAAGCATTGCCAATCCCTGATCTTGAACATGAAGACAAGAAGCCAGCCATTTTATTTAGTTTCCAAGCCAGGAATTTTGGGCTCCCTTTTGCCTTTATTTTGAAATGAGATTTTAGGACTTTATTTGGGTACATGGCAAACATTAATTTTTATTTTCAGACTTGAGTTCCTTTTTTTTCCTCTTAACTCAGACCCCAAATTAACTAACATAATTTCTACCTTGGTTTCCATACTGTAAAATGGAAACTGTGAAATGGGGATTATGCCACTCAGCCACAGATTGAATCAATCATTCAGAACGTGCTGGACTGTTAGTAGAACAAAGCCACCTAGTCATATGTAATAGCCCTGATTGTCTAGGTCTGGCTTTGTACCTTCATCTTGCTAACAAAATAGTAAAAGAGCAAAATGTAAAACACTTTCTTCATAAAGGACCTACAGGAAATGTGGCTGTTTACCTTACAACTTCTGAGAAGATGCATGATTTCTTAGGAAATAATATATTGTAGATATTACATGTATGCAGCAAAAGCTAAGCGGGTATCTAAGCGATCTACTGTGCTGTCATAAAGGCTCTCTGTATGGTTACAGTGATGTGGATGTGTTGAGTCATTTGTGATCTAAGAAACTAGTTAGGTTAGTCATTGGAGGTATCTGAGACCTGGAGGGAACTCATCCCAGATCCAACATGCCTATTAAACCAATCGGGTGGCTATGTGGACAGGTGATAAATAGATTTGCTGGACAAGGTATGTGATCTTATTTATGAGACACTTATTATTCCTTTCCTGCCCCAACCTTGCCATTCTTTTGTTTTATTCAGAGATTTTGATTTCAGTCTTAAATTGCTGCTTTCATCCCAGCTTATGTTCTCCAGAGAATAGCTGTGGAAATTATAGATGACATTAAGGATGAACTTCCAAACATAGTAAAATGGAAACCATCAAACCAGGTAAGGGGTCTGTTTTAATGTTATTAACGTTCTGACAACAGATTTTCTCCTTCTGTTGTTTCAAAACAAAACAAAATGTGTTTTATCTGCCATAAGTTATTTTTCCTTAAGGTAAATAACTTACACTCCCTTGGCTAACTCAGATCAGTTGTTGGCCAATATTCCAAGATAAAATACCTCATCATCAAGTCAGAAAAGGACTTAAGGCACAGATCCTCAAAGAAGTTTAAGCACCTAGTACTGGATTTACACAGGAATTCGCTGTTCGAAGCCTGGTGGCATTCTCAAATTAGGTTATATACCTCCAGGGCCAGGCATTTTCAGAATAGACCTACCAAGTAAGAATATACACAAAACACAAGTTGTAGGAAATGGTCCCTTCATTCTTTATAACCCAGTGTTAGAGCACTCTCCCAGGCTATCACAGGCATGTTAAAATCCCTCTTCTTAGGCCATAGGTTATTCTATTGAGGGGTTTGTTACTCCTCTTTTAAGATGTTCAATTTTGTGTAAAATGGGTTCTGTTTGACCCAGTTAATATTTACATGAGTGATCTCATAGCTTGGAGCTTAGAAAACATGCAGAAAGTTGTTTTCAAATCCCTGCTGTAATGTATACCCAGTAATTCTCAACCAGGAAGCCCTGTGATCTTTTCAAGGGTGCTGTGGGGTGCCACACAATGGTAGCACTGTTAGGTATGCAAACAAGATTCACAAGATAAACCCAGAGATTTCTAATAGGAATCCATAGTGTTAAAAAAACAGTCTTACCTGTTGTGGGCTTTCTGAGTTTTTTGCAATAGAAGTATTGCTCTATTACTTTTCTGTTGTTAAAAAACAAGTGAAAATTTGAAACTGGTATTTTCCAAGGGGTGACATGAGTTAATTAAGGGATGTCTTGAGTCTAAAAGGGTTGTGAGCCTCTGGTATAGGCAAAGGAATGCCTACTTTTTGAATCCTAGTCAGGGTTAGACTCAGAATTGCTTGTCGCCATTGAGATTCAGTTGGTTTTGCACATGTCCACCAGCAGAAACTTAGGAGGCTGACAGCATTAGGTGGCATGGTGAGCTAGGGTTTTGAGATCTCAGTGGCACCTAAAATAGACACATCCATTAGACAAAGATAACCATGGGGGCTGCTCAACATCTTGCCCATTTAGTAGTGATACATTGGGACTGAGGCCTAGTGCAAGGTCTTGTTAGCAGCCAAAAAGGCAGGAATGGCCCTGGATAGCCACACTCCAGGGGAGACATAGTTGGAGGAATTGTTTTCCCTTTCTGATCATGAGTTTTTTGGACCATGATCCACATTGTGCAGGGAGTGACAGAGGCTTGGAAGGGACACCATGTTGGCCCAGAATGGGCCTGGTAAACTGTCAAGATCTGTTGGGGTACACAATTATTTTGATTGCTCAGGGAGGAACAGGGGTCTCTTGCACCAGACCACAGAATGACATAGACCAAGGTCTGCAAGCTTTTGGAGCAATGGGCCAGGTGCTTGCAAGCCAACTGTGCTACAGGCCACCACTGCCCTCCTGTAGGGGGGGAGAAGGGGGAACTAGGTGGCTGCTGATGTCAGAAGACAGGGCAGGGGAGGGAGAGAGGAAGAAAGCTTACCTCTGGTAAACAGTGCTTGCCATAGCTGTGGGGAGAGGTGGGCAGAGAGAGAGAGCTCACTTCTAGTAAGCATCGCCTGCCTAGGCGAGCGAGAGAGCAGGAAGGGCTGTGGAGGGGATTGGTAGCATGGTACAGAGTGGAGAAGGGATGTGCTGGGGTGAGTCACATGCTGCTGATTGGGATGTATCACAGGCCCAGATCCAGTTACTTCCCAGGCTAAGCCCAACCTGCAGGCCGTAGGTTGCTGACCCCTGACAATAACTCTGTATAGAGTCATGTGGAGACAAAGGACCCTACTACAGCCACCTGGTTTAAGTGGGTCCTAATCTGGATTCAGATTAGGGAGTGGAATAGTCCTATTGTATTACTATCCAAGCCAGTTTAGATTATTTGTTTCTTCATTGATTTCTGTAAGTTAAACACAGTGTCAGAGTTTGATACCTATGCGATGCTCTAGGCCAGAGGTTCTCAAACTGCGGTCCATGGACCACCACTGGTCCGTGAGCTCCATTCAGGTGGTCCGCAGAAAGGTTGCAGAACAATCAAAAGTATATGTACTTGTACGGTAAGACTGCTGATATTAAAATATGAGTTGTGTGCTTTCATTTGTAGAACAAAAAAAAGTTTATTAAGTGGTCCGCCGAGACCCTCAGCAATTTTCAAGTGGTCTGCGAAAAAAAAAGTTTGAGAACCTCTGCTCTAGGCTGATAGAGCGTTAACAAAGCTGGGGGAGGCCAATACTTTTCAAGTCTTACACCAGTAAACCCTAATGATCCTATCCACCCTATTATATATAGGGTATAGTGAGGAGTTCCTCACAGTCAAGTAGGCTTCTGTAGCCTCCTGCTACCCTCCTGGGATACTCAAAGATCCTTCACCCTTGTTTGTAACCAATCATGCGCCACTGACATGGTTGTAGGCAGTGTGGGAAGCTAACTCCAGCTTGAGCCATAGGTCCCCATCCTTGCAGCTTTACACCTTCACTATCTGCTACTGGTCTGCTACTTCCCATGCTAGTAGAAACTCTGGTTGGAAGGTTGAGGAGGTGAGGGAAGGTAGATGGAGTGTTTCCAATTCCACCCCCAGGGAGGTATGTAACAGGTATGTCTACTGTGGAATAGTTCTGCCCTAGATGGTATCTGGGAGAACACCAGGCCACAGTGCCCCACTGCCCTTGTGTTGGGGTTAGAAAGGAGGGAGGACATTGTATTTTTGGTTTACCTTTGAAAATAAGTCTGACTAGATAAGGCTGAATGTCATTGCCTACACAGTGGACTAGAGATTTACTTACATACTCTTTGACTGTAAAGCGTGCGTGCGTGCGTGCGTGTGTGTGTGTGTGTTATTTCCCTTCATATTTCATAGACATTAGGGCTGGAAGAGACCTCGGAAGAT